ATAAAACATGCAGCCCAATGCCGATAAATACAACAGAGGGACGAAGAATGATTTCTCAACTTTATTATTATTATTAATATTATATTATTAATGATTAACTTAATGGATAATTTAACGATTTCTAAGTTACCCTCATTTAAAGAATTCAACTTGCAATTTCATACGATTGATGCCAATAAAGATCTGGAAGTTTGCAAGATGCCTAATGATTAAACTGTTTTATGGAAAAGCACATTAAAAATGTCAAAATTAGATTGCTATCTGAATATGATTTGCACGAGATTTTGTTTTTTAAAGTGAACGAATGAAGCAAAAAAAATAAGCATTAATTGAATATTATTTATTGGTGGCTTTCAAATCTCCCCTGAACTCTTCCTCTCTGATTTTAAATTCCAAACGAGGTAAGTGGTTGCGCAATCGGTTTTTGTGCTTTAAACGTTAGGCTCCTATTTCGAGAATTTTGTGCAGCTTACAATCTTATTATTCAAACTGTTAATTCAAAATAACGAATTTTCTTGCCAAGACCCGATTGAACTGCTTACTGCACTGTTCTCTTGTTCCTAGTTGCCTACGAACTCGGATTGGGCTCGATGGTATTTAAGATTCTACAGTACCAGATACATTTCGATGCATTTTCTCCGCTATAGCGTCCTCGCATTTATCACGAACCATGTTTCAGGAGTTGGCACTGCTCCTTGCTGCCGCATAAATATCATAAGTTGTTTGTATGCCAGAGTATATGAAGACATGAATGATTATACAATGCCAGCTTCATGGCACATAGCAGACCCGGCAGTAGGAATGTGAGAAGCTTTGCTTTACTTCCTCGAATATCGTTCACTATGTGCGTGAGGCCGCCTGGCGAACAAACGATGCGAGATACATCGCTCGCTGTAACTGCTCAAATATCAGGGAGCCCTGGCCTGCACAAATACCCCAAGGCAAATAGAAACAAGAGGCGCACAACATGATATGAAAAGTGTTTCTGGAAAAGTCTGTTTTGTACTTATTTGGCATACCCAGACATGGAAACAACGTATGATGATTGTGCAGCAATTTCGAATTCCATTGAGTAACGAATTCACTCTGCAGCGCTTCGACGTTGTCGGTTGAGAAACGACAAACAATATGTCAAAATGTGAATAATGGGAACAGTATCATATTTTGATTTCGATTTCAGTTCTTCTCCACCCTCCTACGACCGACCACTACACTTCAAATTATAACTTATAAACATATGAACGATAAAAAACAGCGCAGTGATTGTACTGTTTACATTTAACCCGCTTCTTTGCCGGGAACGTCTTCAGTGTTGACTAAGCAAAAGTAA